TTATATAGCACTTCCCCTTTCCACACCCAGACGATGAGGAATTGTGCACCGGTAGCTTGCCCAGTGTGGTAGCCTGCCAATGCCTCTTGCACCCGCCCACAAGGTCACCACAATCAACAACCCCCTCCCCCTCCCCCCGCGCTCTCTCTGGGCCCAAAGTCCCCGTCGGCCACACTTCCTGGTCAAGCTCTCATACCATTTGTAACGACCCACTCAACCACATAGTATGATATTGTCCACTTTGGGCCCGAACCCGCACGGTTTTGCTCTTAGGCTTTACCCCCAAAAGGCCTCATACCAATTGAAATGTACAAATCCCACATATATAGCACGTGACCTTTCCACACCCAAGCGATGTGGGATTGTGCACTTGTAGCTTGCCCAATGTGGTAGCCTGCCAGTGCCTCCTGCACCCGCTCACGGCATCATCAACATAGCAAATTGGCAACATACTTGCGGCAATATACTTTCACTTTAAAGCATAAGTCAACTGTCCAGAATAAGGTGGCTGACGCTTTACGTCAAAGATCTCATTTAATATCCACTATGCAAGTTCAAGTTGCAAGTTTTGACACTTTCAAGGATTTATATGATGTTGATCCATTTTTTGGGAGGATTCATGAAGAGCTAATGGAAAGCAAGAGGACTGACTACAGCCTACAGTATGGTTTTCTCTTTAAAGAAGCGAAGTTATGCATTCCTGATTGTTCTTTAAGAGAAAAAAATTCTACTTCAGCTACATAATGAGAGACACTTTGGCAGAGACAAAACTTATGGCTTAGCTGATGCAAAATACCTTTGGCCAAATTTAAGGAGATATGTCAATAGGCTGGTTCATCACAGTCAAATTTGTCAAGAGGGGTATCTCGCAGTACTCCTTTCAGATTTGAGAACATGTGGCTTCGTGCGGTTAACTTCCAGGAACTTGTCCATTCTTGGTGGGAGGAGAATCTGGTGGTGGGTACATCGAGCCATATCCTTGCCGGAAAGCTTCGGATCTTGAAAACAAATCTTAAAAGGTGGAATAAGAAGGTATTTGGGAGCTTGGTGTGGAGGAAGAATAGGGCTTTGGCTGATATTGCGGAGATTGATCGATTGGAAGGGGAGGGTGCTATTTCGGAATCTCAACGCAGTAGAAGAGCAGCTTGCCAGGCTGAATGTGTGGAGATTGCTCTTTTGGAGGAAATCTCGTGGCGCCAGAAATCTCGGGCATTATGGCTCAAAGAGGGGGATCGTAATACGAAGTTTTTTCACAGAACTGCTAATGCTAATAGGAGGAGTAATCATATTGGGCGGATGTGTGTGGATGGTGCAGTTTTGTCTTCGGAGGAGGAGGTGCTAAGTGCTATTGTCTCTTTCTATCAAGGACTTTATTCTGAGCCTCTTCGTTGGAGACCTAGTCTAGATGGTCTTCACTTCGATTCTATTTCTGCCTTGGAGAGAGATGGGCTGGAAAATCCTTTTTCGGAGGAGGAAGTGCTGAAGGCTTTAAAGAGTTGCAATGGTGATAAGGCTCCAGGTCCAGATGGTTTCACGATGAGATTTTTGCTGGAAAGCTGGGAGGTGGTCCGATATGAGGTTATGGGCACTTTTCATGAGTTTCATTCCACGGGGCGATTTGAGAAATCGCTTAATGCATCTTTTATTGCCCTTATTCCTAAAAAGGGTGGTGCTTCTAATATCAAGGATTTTAGACCCATTAGTCTGATCGGGTGCATTTACAAGATCATTGCAAAAGTCCTTGCCTTTAGATTGAGGGAGGTCCTGGATGGAGTTATCTCTGAGTCTCAGAATGCTTTCGTTGGGGGTAGACAGATTCTGGATTCCGCTCTTATTGCTAGCGAATGTGTGGATTCTAGACTTCGTAGTGGGACTCCTGGTGTTCTGTGCAAGCTGGATATTGAGAAAGCCTATGATCATGTTTGCTGGAACTTCCTGTTCTACCTGTTGGAGAGGATGGGTTTTGGTGAGAGATGGAGGAAGTGGATTGTTTCTTGTGTTTCCACTGTCAGGTTTTCGGTGTTGGTGTATGGCTCTCCTTCGGGATTCTTTGGTAGTTCTCGTGGGTTGAGACAGGGGGACCCTCTCTCCCCTTTTCTTTTTACTATTGTTATGGAGGCCCTTAGCAGGCTGATGAGAAGGGCGGTGGATTTGGGTTTTCTTAGGGGCTTCAAGATTGGCCCTGAATCAGTTCAGTAGTTGGAGATCTCTCATTTACTTTTTGCGGATGACACTATTGTTTTTTGTGAGGCTGATATTTCCCAGTTGAGGTATCTGCGATGTGTCTTGGTTTGCTTCCAGGCTGTTTCTGGTTTGAAAGTTAATGTGGGAAAGAGTGTGATTGTTCCTGTGGGGGAAGTTCAGGAGGTGGACACTCTGGCTGCTGTTCTAGGATGTGGGACGCAACGCTTTCCCATCTCGTACTTGGGTTTGCCGCTGGGGGACTCGGCTAGGAGGGTGGGAAGTTGGAACCCGGTGATTAAGCGGGTCGAGAGAAGATTAGCGGGTTGGAAAAAACAAATTCTGTCAAAGGGCGGTAAAGTTACGTTAGTGAAGAGCACTTTGTCAAGCCTTCCAACGTACTTTCTTTCGCTTTTTCGTATTCCAGCTTCTATTGTTGGAAGAATAGAAATGCTCCAACGTAATTTCCTTTGGGGGGGTCACGGAGAAGAGTTCAAGTATCATCTTGTCAAATGGGAACAGGTTTGCAGGCCTATTCGGTTGGGAGGGCTTGGAATTAGGAGATTGGCCACTTTCAATTGTGCTCTTCTGGGTAAGTGGCTTTGGAGATTTGGTAAGGAAAGACATAGATTATGGAGAAAGGTTATCTCATGTCGCTTTGGGGAGGAGAGAGGAGGGTGGTCAGCTGGATCAATCAGGTCTGTTGGCGGAGTGGGGGTGTGGAGGGCCATTGGTAAGGGGTGGGATGCCTTTTCCAAACATATTAGATTCAGAGTTCGGGATGGAAAAACTATCCGGTTTTGGGAGGATCCATGGTGTGATGATAGGCCTTTGGCCCTTTTGTTTCCCAAGCTTTTTAGGATTGCTGTTGACAAACATGCAATGGTTGCTAACTATTATCACCTTGATAATGGAAGGTTGTCTTGGGATGTGCGTTTCCGGCGAGCCTTTCAGGATTGGGAGCTGGATGATGTCACTGGGTTTTTGGCTCTTCTTTACGGACAGGAGGTGGAGGGGTCTGGGGCAGATTCTTTGATTTGGGTGCCTTCTTCTCAGGGGATGTTCCAGGTCCGGTCCTTTTTTGTGTGCCTTTCTGGTTTTCATGGTACCTCATTCCCATGGAAGACGGTGTGGAGGTCTAAGGCGCCTCTTAGGGTGGCCTTTTTTGTGTGGACTGCAGCTTTGAGTAAGATTTTGACGTTGGACAACTTGAGGAAGAGAAGACATATCATTGTTAATAGGTGTTGTCTTTGCAAGATTTATGGGGAGTCGGTGGATCATCTTTTGTTGCACTGTCCTGCGGCTCATGATTGTTGGAGTTTGATGTTTGGCCTGTTTGGTATTCATTGGGTCATGCCTCGGACATCTTGGGAGTTGTTAGATATGTGGAGGGGCCAATGGGTGGGGGCTCAGGTCAGAGTTTTTTGGAGGGTGATCCCTTTTTGTATTTGGTGGAGCCTTTGGAGAGAGCGTAATGAAAGATCTTTTGAAGGAAAGGAATCCTCCATTGGGGTGTTAAAATTTTCTATCATTTGTAACTTGTTTTGTTGGGGTCAGGGGAGAGACTACTCCTCTCTTGAGGAGATTGTTGACTTTATGAGTTCTTTGAATTCATAGGTTCCGTTTTGTCTTTGTATAGTTTGGGTCGCGTTCCCCTTTTTGAACGCTTTTAATACAATTTACTTATCAAAAAAAAAAAATTTGTCAAGTGTCAAAAGGTGGAGCTACTAATGCTGGATTATACATGCCTTTGCCGACTCCGACTTCCCCATGGACAGATGTTAGCACGGATTTTGTGCTCAGACTTCCTCGAACACAAAGGCAAATGGATTCTGTCTTAGTTATTATTTATAGATTTTCTAAAATAGCACATTTCATACAAAGCAGGAAAAGTATGGATGCTTCTCAAATTGCTAATTTGTATTTCAAAGAAATTGTTCGTTTACATGGTGTGCCAAAGTCCATCACTTCGAGATAGGAAGTTTATCAGCCATTTTTGGAGGAATCTCTGGAAGAAAGTAGGGTCTGATAGGAACTTCAGTTCGGCCTATCATCCTCAATCCGATGGGCAGACCTAAGTCGTCAACAGGAGTTTGGAAAATCTGATTCAAAGTCATGTTGGGAATAATTTGAATCGGTGGGACCAAGTTTTCTCTCATGCAGAATTTGCTTTAACAGATCCAGAAATTGAACAACTAAGATGAGTCCTTTTCAGATTGTTTATGGACAGGATCCGAACAGTGTTTTAGATCTGGTTCCACTTCCAAAAAATATCTTTCATAATTTTTTTCCAAATTTAATAAATGTATTTTTCAGATGGTGACAACATTAATTGTAGTTTAAAGGGAGGACTCTGGACATAAAAGATATTTGTTTACTGAATGACCACATAAACCAAGTATAAATTGCATGCTCTTCTTCGTGCATTACCATATAGCTACCCAAAATCTAGTAAGATGAAATTGGTTCACATTGTCCCTAGAATAATTACACTCTCAAATCACAACCATATATGTACTTATGAGTGCATATACAAAAAAGCACTTTGTGTACATTAATGAGGAAGGAGTTCAGAAACTCACTTGAAAGCGATCTGAATTGACTCAAATAGAAAAAAGTAATGCAGCAAGAGATCTAAGGTGGTTGTCGCATTATATTAAATAGTCAGAATAACAACCAAAGAGAACTGATTAACCATATGCCAGAAACCAATTCAACAACTTAATTGCACTCAATAAACAGAAAGTTAATGGAACATTTTACATAGCACAGTAAATTTCACAAATGTAAAAAACCCAAGGAAAGAGCAAGGAGAGTACCTTTGAGGCATCATTACTCGCAAGAAGGCAGGTAAGAGTTTGGAGGACATTCAAGACCAACTTCTCACCATTCACCTCATCAAGGTTCCCATTCAACAAAGATACAACATGCAAAAAGCATTCACCATCGCGAAACAAAGATTGATAGTACTGTAATCATGGGGAGAAAAAACAAAAGCCAATTTGTCAACATCAAGAACTTGGGGAAAGAAAAAACATACATATTCAAAGTATTGCCATATTTAAGTTAACAAATCCATCACTCAGAAGAATTTACCACTTGATTGTTTAGAAGCATATCTCTCATCCCAACCAATAGATTGATTGACAGTTCAGCGAAATTTTTTTCCTGTTCCTTTACATGAGTAAATGTTTCTAAATAATTTGAACATAACTGCAGCTTTGCCTTTTCGTCTTCCTCAGACAGTGGAGTAACCTGCAAAAGTACGAAATCCCACCCCATAGAAGAGAGATATCAACTGAATTGCCCAACTGTGACAATATCCATAACACGTGAAACAAAGAAGAAAGCGATCGAATACCTTCATTAGGTCAAGAATATAAGCAAGCACATGATTTCTCAAACCTTCTTCCCAGAATAACTCAAACAAACAATCAACACAAGTAGAACTATGCAAAACCAAACTTTTAGCATCATCTGTTACAGAGAAATACTCAGCGAAGAGCTCCATGGATGTTTCCATGCTTTTGTACCAACTTTGGATTGTCTCGGATGATTTAGATCTGTCACAACTCTGAGAAGCCACTTCCACAATATTATTTTCAAGACAAAGGCTCATATTTCCCAGTCTTCTATATTCTTGAGCTTGAATGCACACAACTTTGAGTACCCGAGGAAATGCATCAAGTGACTTGAAAGAAGAAATAGTTTTCTCAACTGAACACTTTAATATACGAAGCAGGCTCTTTCCAAGAACACCAGCAATCTCAGGAGTACAAGCAGATTGTTCGAGGGCATCTAATAAAACAGAACATTCAGGCTGCCATAACATGAACAAATAAAGATAAGCAGAAGTTTCAAGAAATACTAACACAGAAAACTTGGAAGCACAAATGGAGCAGTTCAATGGAATCTTCTTAATAACCAAATTTCTCAAAGATCGTGTTGTCTTGGGGAGCTTCCTAGCACCAAAAGTCCTAAATTGGTAAGACTTGGCAGATAGAACTTCTTTAAAAGAAATTCAAAACATAAAAGATGTTCAGTGAATAGAAATTTTTTTTTTCTTTAACATACTGTTACCCTTTCTCCTTATATGGCACACTAGAAAAGAAGGCCATTTTCCAATTAAATAGTTTCTTTTGTGTTCTTTATAATTCATGCTACTCAAACTGAACCTTCAATTTAAAAATGTCACAACAACTCACTGAGAAGCCACAAATGAAGTATATAATATGAATTTTAGAACAAAATTACATTAAAATAAATAAAAATTAATAGTTATTTGGGGTACATTGGGCCATGCCTTATTCCTCTAGAGGGTTGATTGAGGCTTGGAGAGGCGTCTCTGTTGGGGCTGGCATTAGGGATGCTTGGAGGGCTACGCTGCTTTGTATCTGGTGGTGTATTTGGCTTGAGAGAAATAGGAGATATTTTGATGGGAAAAAGAAGCCTGTTTCTATGCTTAAGTTCTCTGTTATTTCTACTCTTTTTTGTTGGGTTTCAGGGAGAGATTATAGATCTATGGAGGAAATTATTGTTTTTTTGGCCTCTCTGAAGGTCTAAGGAGCCCTTTGGCCCTTTTGTTCCTTCTGTTTCTTTGGGCTTCGCTCCCCTTTTTGAGCGTTTTTAATAAAATCTTACTTATCAAAAAAAAAAAAAAATTTAATAGTTATGATAATTGAAAAGTACAGAGCAGTATAATATTATGGGGAAAGCTAACCTCCCTAACCTTAGAGGTGATGATAAACTTGTCTCTTGAAGTGGCAAAGACACGTATATGATACATACAAATATGCCGACGCGTCAAAAACTAGTACACAGACACGGCCGACATAACAAACCATGCGAGCCCCCGACGAAGCCAACATAAATCCCATTCAAATTAGGAAGGGTAAAAAAAAAAAGGGTTTATTGGACATGGATAATGAAATTGGGCCTCATTACATCAAGATATCCGATGCAGTTCTGGTGCCACCCATTCCTCTTCTGGTTGGATAGTGAACATGGCTATGGATAAACATAAGATTTTATTTGTATACATCTACCAAGTGCAACCAAAAACATAGCCCAGATATCCCTCGCCACTGGGCAGAGAAGAAGAAGAGGGTTCACAATTTCCTCCGACCTCTTGCACATACAACACCAATTAACAACGATCCGTCGTCTCTTCCTAAGATTGTCGAGTGTGAGAATGCTACCATGAGCGGAACACCACACGAAAACACCACCTTCAAAGGGGCTTTTGACCTCCAAATCGCCTTCCACGGAAAGAGTGGCCTGGAATCTACACAAGACTATGATAAAAAAAAACCCTAACCTCAAAAACGCCTCTCGGCGTGCCCACCCATGGGGATGTTTTGAATTTTGTGGATAGCTTGAAACTTTAGCGTCGCTAAGAGCGTCCTTTGTATTCTTTTGGGTTCACTCCCCTTTTTGAGCGCTTTTAATTGATATCTTACATATCAAAATATATATCTATATACAGAGAGACAGACAGAGAGAGAGAGAGAGAAGAAAATGGTTGAACTGTGTAGAAATAGGGTAACAGATTGGAGAATTTCTAATAAATATAACACCTTTATCACTACAACACTTCTTTGGGATGCTTATTACCACAACGCATGCATCCAGATGCTATAGCGAGATGTTGTTCATGGACCAACCCACACTCATTCACTTAATACTCTTGTCAAAGCTGCATATGTCTGGATGCCACACATAAGCATATCAAGTTCCTTTCTCCCTACATCTCATTTTGTATCTACTAAAAAAATTTAATGACAGAAAGAAAGAAATAATGAATGATTGATATTAGGAAAGCAAGGTGCCAAGCAACTACTAAGCAAGGTTATTGAATAAAAGGATCTGGAAAAATAAAAAATAAAAATAAAAAAAAAATTGATCTCATTTGGATAGACTGGGAGGTCGAGAATCGTAAGATTCTATAAGGAAGATAAATAATAATATATTTATTAATACTATATGCAAGAGGGGTGGAGAGTGAGTTGATCACCTCCTTTTGCATTGCCCGACTCTGGGAGTCTTATTTTTGGCATGTTTGGTGTTCAGTGGATCATGCCTCGATTTGTGAGAAGCTTGATTGAGGCTTGGAGAGATGTCATGTGGGATCCCACACCCATTTTTGGAGGGTGGCTCCCTTTTGCGTTTGGTGGTGCATTTGGAAGGAGAGGAATAGAAGACCTTTGGTGGAGAGGATTCTTCTATTCGGGCTTTAAAATTTTCTACTCTTAGCTCTCTTTTTTGTTGGGTTATGGGGAGAAATTGTAAATATATGGAGGAGAAAGTTGATTTTTTGGGTTCCTTGGGGGCCCCTCTTGGCTTCGGCAGTTGTGTAGCATTAGGGATGTGTTTTCCTTTTGAATGCTTTCTAATACATTTTTACTAATAATAATAATAATATATAATATAAAATAAAATTTGTGCATTTTACAAATTATTGAATAGTATAACATGAACAAACCTTAAAAATATATGAATTAAGACTTCCAAGGGCTTTTCCTAACAATTTGGGTAACATTATTATTTACATAGCATTAATAATAATAGCACGTTACAACATTAAATACAAAACATAAGATTAAAAGAGTCATGAGCCATCATTTAACTATAACCAAACATTGCATGAAAGTCTCCAAGCAAACACGAAGGGAAAAAAATTAAAGATACTCAAGCTACTTAAAGAATAAATGGCTGATTCGTTTGAACAAACATTTTTGAGTTATCGAGAACGAAGTCAATGGCTTGAATTAGTTTTTGAAAGAAATAATTCAATATAAAAAGTATCAAGCCAAAAGACAAAATAAGGAAAGAACTGATATTTGTCAAAATAAGTATCAAATTACCTAAATCCGTTGCAAAATAGTTGACTACTTTTGAGGAAGACTAGAAGAATTGTTGCAGAGTTAAAGTGAGAAGAATTTTTGAGAATTAACTATCTTATTAAGGGCATTTAAGGGGGTCGTGATTTTCATTTTATTTTGTTACTTGGGACTTTGGCGCTAATTATTGAAAAGAAACAATAAATTAACATTCTCTGATTGTAAAGTAGGATCGGCAGAATTGGAGTCAAATTGAAATCCTCCAATTCTAGCAAGACTATAGGGATTCTACCTTATTGGGATTTTTTGTTAGATTTAGATCAATTCAGTCAATTGGGATTTCAACACATGCTACCAAGTCAACAAACAGAAACACCTAAAACAACAATGAAATAAGCCAGAAGTTATAGTGATTGACTAGCCATGTTTAACAGAATTATAGAAAAAGTAACAAGCCATAAAAAAAAAAAAAAGGAGTGAACTCGTGCTTGTCAAAATTAGTATTGAATTGCCTAAATCAGCTGCAAAGTAGTTGACTAGCTTGAGGAAGACGAGAAGATTTGTTGTAGAGTTAAAGTGAGATGAATATTTCTAGAGAATTAATTATCGTATTAAGGACATTTAAGTGTGTTGTGACTTTCATTTTATTTTGTTACTTGGGTCATGTGCACTAACTACCAAAAAGGAACATAAAATTAACATTCTCTGGTTGTGTGTAGTAGGATCGCCAAAATTAGAAGCAATACTATAGGGATTCTACCTTATTGGGATTTCTTGTTAGATTTAGATCTATTCAATCAATTGGAATGTCAACACATGCTACCAAGTCAACAAACGGAAACGCCTAAAACAATGAAGATCCAAGCCAGAAGTTATAGTGATTGAGTAGCCTTGTCTTGACGAACCTAAAGAACAAGGACACCTTGTCTTGTTGATCTAGCAACACTGTAGTATCACATTGTAGTTTTATATAGACCCCATGAATATATAGTGGATAAAAACTCCTTAGTCAACTTTGACAAAACAAATAAAGTTCAAATGCTCAGACAGGGAATACCAGAAGATAAAGAAAGAAGAAGAACCCACCAAGTTATGCGAACTCCCATTTAAAGTAGCTGCAAGTTCCACAAAGGAGATTACTTCAATTTGAAGTCCTTCAACCCCACTAGCATTTACTTGACTGTTAATGCAACTAGAACTGCAACCTATTTCAGAGTTCCCAGAGTGAACTTCATTATATGTACGATACTCTTCAGATAATGCTGTTAAAGATGGCCCAAAATAGAAAAAGTTCTCAGAGAAGATAAGGTCCCATATTCCCTCTGCCCGAAATACATCAAGTAATGCAGGTGAAAAACCAAGAACTTTCCTGAATGCAGAGAGAACGTAATGTTGAAGTGTATAGACAAAGATCCTGCAGATATGGATAAACAATTGGAAAAAATAGTAAGAAAACAAAGATAGAAGGTGAAAGAGCCATAAGAAACAGGTAAAACAATAAATTAAGGTGAAACAAAATAGCAGAGTAAATCCTCTGCCTTCCAATACTAAATTAAAAATGAAAACTCCATAAACTAGTATCATTCACCTCAAGTGTCCTGGCAGCTCATTTTGATCCGAACAAGCCTTAACGTATGGAAACACTGTAAGAAGAACCCTCATGACCCATTTTATAGAAAGTTCAACATAAACTGAAGAAGTTGGCATGGTAATACCAGCTGATAGTTGGGAATGATGAGAATGAGTATCTTCCACTACAAGAAGGAAAGAAGAAAGGACACTACCCAAATTGGCAACATACTCATTCCAATGTAGAGAATAAGAAGAATTGGCTGAAATTGGAGCAGAAGACTCCACATCATGAATTTTAAAATTATCCATATTTCTAGAGTCGGAAACAAGCATTTGAAAATCATCACACCCAGACAAATCCCTGCTTTGATGCTTGTATTCTTGAAGCATGAACGCAGGCGAACAAAGGTTATTTGCAAATTTATGTACTCTTCCATTCTCACATAGAAATTGCATGTTGTTCAAATTCCCAAATCTAGATACTGGTTAAGGACATAGATAATGGTTAGTGCATAAACAACAAGAAGAAGAAACAAGTTCAGGCCACTGAAATATTACCCCACCCACCCCCCCCCCCCCCCCCCCCCCCCCCCCAAACACACCAAATATATAACAACAACAATAATAAATGAAAATCCCACACAAATACAATTGATTAGTGGTGAATTTGAAGCCAAATTTGCCATTTCAGATGTACAGTAGAATAGAGTAAAGCAGAAATGTGTCATCCTTGCAACAAGAGAGATTCTTTTGAAAAGATCAAAGGGCATCCAATTCAGTAGGCAAAGTCCTTATATGTGTTAAATAGCATGCTTGCAACGGAGGAGTTCCAATGGTCTTATTAGAGCTTATATGAACCCAAATATGCATAAGTAGGTGGTATGAAGGATACACAGCCTCCCTAAGAACCTCCAACAAAAGAACATGGAGCTGAAAAATACCCAGAAAAGGATTTTCATCTCTGCAACAGGTAATTGAACCAATATGTTAGAGGCAATTAGAATGTATAGTTAAATGGCACAAGGAAATCAATCAATAACAATAGCTAACTGAGTTGGAGACATTCAAATTTTCAATTTTGGAGTAATATCCTATGAAGATATGGAAAAACAAACACACAAAAAATAGCTTATTCCAACTTCCACCGTGTTGAAGCAAGTACACTTAACACCTAGCAAATTTTTTTAGCACATACTGTCAAAAAGGAAAAGAAGAAAAGCAAATATAAAATTCCTCGGTATGAGCAAGAAAAATTCTGCCTCACTACCAAAAACATAAACTAGAAACTAAATAATGGTCACAGCACAAACTAAAGAAGGAAGAACAACAGGATTTGGAGATTGAAGTCTAATATCTTATCATCGCCAACTCTAACAACTACAGATATCATGTCAACTACGTTTTACTGTTTCAAGATGTGCAGCATCTTTAATGCTTTTTATTTCAATTTTCAAGTCCCCAATTTTAGTGTGAAAATAGGTTTCCCACTGTTACAGCAGAATGTTACAAAAACATATGATTGTCCACTGATTATGAGAGAGCATCCATTCAATGAGAACAAGCCATTTAATTCCAATGTGTATTACATAATGGACATGAATGCTACGGACCCTGAATCTTTAGTAATGCAACACCCTGAAATGTAATGGCACAGTTGTTTTAACACCAAGAATCAATAAATTTTTAGTTTATACAACTTTTTAATGAATTTTGTTGAATATAGAAACACGATCCAATATAGGTGATAAATATTTGAGATATCGTCTATGAAGCACGGACACGTGACATGAGTATGACATGACATGGACACGCCGATACGGCAAATTTCAAAAAAATATGACATGAAAACGGCAAGGATACGGCAATATAATAATACAATATTTAATTTTATATAAAATTTTATTTTTCTTAATTTCTAATTTATAGTATTCCACATAGCCCATTTAAATTAGGCCCAACCCATATTATATTTGAAAAACAAAATGTTCAATAGGCCCAAATTTTATTAAAATATAAATACTGTAAAATATATATATATATATATATATATGTCCAAAAGGCACAACCTTTTATCCTTGTAATCAAATATTATCTTATCCTCTCCCTCTTTCTTTCACGGCATTGTAGCTCTCTCCTTCATCTGCTCCGTCTCTTCCTCACTCTCTCTCTCAGGAACAGAATCACGGTGCCATACCTCTTATTACTCTTCCAGTAAAACCTCTCTCCATCCCTTTGTGTGTGTGTGTGTGTATATGTAATTTTTTTTTTTCTTCTTTGATAACAAAGAACATATTAGAAAGCATTCAAGAGGGGAACGCATCCCGCTGGCTATACAAGGGCCGAAGCCAAAGGAAAGGACCTAAGGCCCCAAGGATCCCAAAAAATCAACAATTTCCTCTATAGATTTACAATATCTCCCCATCACCCAACTAAAAAGAGAACTAATAATAAGAAATTTCAAAGCCCCAATTGAAGATTCCTCCCCATCAAAAAATCTTCTATTCCACTCCATCCATAAACACCACCAAACACAGGGGAACCGCCCTCCAAAAATCAAGGGCATGGCCCCACACTGCAGCCTCTCCAAGCGTCGATCAAATCCCTCAAAGACCGAGGCATAACCCATTGGACACCGAATAAACCAAAAATAAGGCTCCAGCAGTCATAAGCCACAAGGCAATGCAGAAAAGGTGATCCACAAACATCATCCCTCTTACACAAGCAACACGAGTTAACAGTAATGTGTCTTCTCTTTCACAGATTATCCATGGTCAAAATCTTAACCCAAACTGCAATCCAAACGAAGAAGGCCACTCTGAAAGGAGCCTTCGGGCACCAAACCATCTTCCAAGGGAAATCAGACCCATAGAAGTCAGAAAGACCAAAAAACAAGGAACGGACCTCAAACCTCATATGAAGAAATGGCACCCAAAATAAAGAGTATGTGCCTCTACCGTCAACCTCCAGTCTGTACAAAAGATCTAGCAACGCACAAACATCATCTAACTACCAATCATGGAAGGAACACCGAAATTGCACATCCCATATCAACCTACCGCTATCAAGCCGATAACAGTTGACAACCAGTGCATGTCTATTAACGGCAATCCTAAAAAGTCTAGGAAAAGAACAAGACAACGGGCGATTGCCACACTATAAATCCTCTCAAAACCGAACGCCCTTGCCGTCCCGAACTCTGAATTTGATGTGCTTAGAAAATGCATTCCAACCCTTCCAAATGAATTTCCAAATACGCAAACCTCCAATGTGTCTAACCGGGTCCGAGGACCACCCACCTCTCTCCACCCCAAAAACGACACACAATAACCCTCCTCCAAAGACGATGTCGTTCGATTCTGAAACCCCAAAACCACTTACCGAGGAGAGCCCTATTGAAAGGGACAAGCCTCCTAACACCAAGGCCACTCAACTAAAATAGGCCTATACACTTGTTCAAAATGGATAAGATGATACTTGAACTCTTCCCACCGACCACCCCAAAGGAAATTCTGTTTAAGTCTTTCAATACTTCCACTACAAAGGAGGCAATCTAAAAGAGAGAGTAAGTGTGTGGGAAAACTCGACGTAATCTTCAAGAGAGTAAACTGCTTCTTCCATCCGGCCAGTCTTCTATCAAACTGCTCGATCACAGGATCCCATCCTCAACAGAGCACCCAAAGGCAAGCCCAAATAAGAAACGGGAAAGGAGCTCACCCCACACCTAAGAACCACGACAAGAGAACCAAGATCCTAAACCGCCCCTACAGGAACAAGAACGGTCTTTCCCATATTAACTTTCAGACCAGAAACTGCCTCAAATCAAACCAAAACACATCTCAAATATCTCAACTGGGACCCATCCGCATCACAAAAGACCAAGGTATCATCCACAAACACTAAATGAGATATCTCTATATGATGAACCAAATCTCTGCCCACCAGAAGCCCTGATAAACCCTAGATCCACTGTCCTCGTCAAAACCTACTAAGCGCTTCCATAAAAATGATAAACAGGAATGAAGAAATTGTTGTCAGGGCTTATTTGTTATTACTTATATAATGTTGGGGCTTATGTGTAATTTCTGAAACTTGTTAGCATAAATAGAATGTGGTGGAAGGATGAAAGTATTATTTCATTCTCTCTCTCTCTTTCCCCATCTCTCTCTCTTTTCCTCTCATCCTCTTTCTTCTATTTTTCTTCTACTTCTTATTCTTATACTTTACTCTTGATTTGATTCTCTCTTAAAGTCAACATGGTATCAGAGCATGGTTTTTGTAAAGCCCTGGGTGTGTAGTTAAAACCCTAGGCCAAGTTTGTGTAAACCCTAGTGGGTGTGAAGGGTTTTGAAGAGATTCCAAGATGGGACTTGTTTGCAAGGAAGTATTGTTAATCACATCCACACCTACCGCGGATCCAACTGTTTTTGATCGATTACAGTCTCGACTGGTGTTTTTTTCGTGTTCTCTTGGCTCTACAACATCAGCTTTTTCTTCATCGTACGCGATTCTGGTATGGTCTACTTTGTCGCTTTCTAAGGTTTGTGTGGTCACTTTTTTATGCATCTCAAAAGACGGTAATCTTTCTAGTTGCAGTTGTTTGTGTGTTAGAGAGGTGGTTCTTTACGTATTTGGTCGCTATTTTTTGTTTCTGAGGATTGAATACCCAGAAATTATTTAACAAAATGTCTAACTCAGAGGTGACTTCAAAAGAAGTTGGGTTTTCTCCTAGTCTGACTCCAGTATTGGGAGGTAGTAGTGATCACCATCCAGGCCCTTGTATTATGTCTATTAGGCTGGATGAGACAAACTAAATGGAGTGGGCTCAATCTGCTCGCGTGCAAATCACTGGTCGTAGGATGACGACCATATCAAAGGGATTGTCGTGTATTCCTCCAAGAGTGATCCTGAATTCAAATTACGACCATATCAAAGGGATTGTCGTGTATTCCTCCAAGAGTGATCCTGAATTCAAAGAATGGAGGGCAAATAATGCACTAGTTATGACCTAGTTGTTGCAGTCAATGCAGCCACAGATCAGCAAAGGGTTTCTGTTTATGAAAACAACTAAAGAGTTATGGAAGAGACATATTCCTCGGTAGGTAATTTTGCAAAACTGTATGAACTCCAACAACATATTTCAATATTCAAGGAGGAAGACCAAACTTTTGCTACATATTACCACACTCTCGTGGTAAATGGGATGAGTTAGATCACTACCAAGACTACATACCTATGTGTGCAGCTGATGTTAAAGCATTTCGTGCTATGGTAGAAAGAAATCGAATCTATAAGTTCTTGGGTGGTCTGCATCCAAGATACAAGCATGCAAAGGTACAAGTGTTAGGAAGGTATCCAGCCCCTACTTCTGTTAGAGATGTGTTTTCATATATCCAGGTTGAGGAGAGTAGAATGAAGATTATGTCTACACCTGCATACACTAAGCCTAAGCCTAAGCCTGAGCTAGAAGTACAAGTTCTTGGGTGGTCTACATCCAAGATACGAGCATGCAAAGGTACAAGTGTTAGGCAGGTATCTAGCCCCTACTTCTGTTAGAGATGTGTTTTCATATATCCAGGTTGAGGAGAGTAGAATGAAGACTAGGTCTACACCTGCATACACTAAGCCTAAGCCTGAGCTAGAAGTACCATTGTCTGAGAGGTCTGCTCTTGCCACAAAACAATGGAACAAACCCAATCCTTCAATAGGAGGGAAGCAGGATGACGAGAGCAAGTTGAGGTGTGATCATTGTGGGCGTATGCGCCACACTAGGGAAACATGTTAGAATCTACACGGTTGCCCTACTCCAGCTCCTACTCATGCGAATGCTAGGCCAAGGCCTGGTCCATTTAGGGGTTATCTACGGCACATACTGCAAAGCGTGAGACTGCTTCTACTGGTCATGCCTCCTCAGGGCCACCGAGTTCTTCGTCTGGGATGAACTTGATGCTCTTCGACATCTAC